TTCTTACCATTGACACCAGGTATTATAATTTTCTGTGTATTCATAAGTATTAAATTTATTGCAATTATCATAACAGTCTAACAACTTACTCATTGATTTTAATATTTTAGGACTTGACTTAATAAATGCTATTATTGAAATTGTATTTTTAGTGAAAATATGTCATTTTGATGTAATTTCATTTACATTTTCTGACAGTTAACTTATTTCTACTTCCTCACTATTGCTGAAATTTAAAGCAAATTTGTATATGTGACCATATTTAATTTCTTTGTTCTTCTTCTAGGAATTGGCTATGCTATGTCAATCCTAGGCCCTGCTATTGGCTATGTTTTGGGAGGACAACTGCTAACCGTGTATATTGATGCTCCTATGGGAAAAAGGCAAGGCAATGTCTACTTATATTTCAATTTATTTTTATTTTAATGATAATATTATAAACCTAACACTTTTGCTGTATTTATTGAGTATAGTATCAAGTAATTTTCAGGAAACAAAACTAAACACACACTTTTAAATATATTATCTACCAAAACCATGTCTAACTTCTGTTTACTTCACAAGGGTAAAAGAGATTCCAACTCAAAATCAGCCTAAGGCTGATTCCTATGAAGTGGAGGTCTACCTTTTGCCCTACTCTGACATCAACCACCCCTTCCACAGCACTCTCTGCTTCACATCTGAATTCGACAATCCTTTTTAATGACCACACAGAACTCATGACAATACTCATGATATGGAGTTTTTGGTAAAGTGAACAGAGTACAATTCATGATCATAAAACAATTCAGGATGCAGCAGTTTTCCAATCAGGAACACCTCTTCTCTGCTCTGTTCAGGCAAGTGTTACAATGCTCTTTTAACCAGTCTGTGAATGGTTAAAAAGGAACATTCTGCAAGTCTATCTCCTGCCTGTAAGTACTCAGATTTAGGTCCATGACCTACACTCTGAGCTGTTCTATCTTTACATGCCACAGCCTCCACCACTGCCTCTGCTGTTGTGGCTTTTCTAGGTAGGGATGTCATACTTCACTCATGCTTTTCTGTCTTGATGATCCTGGGATTGCCTCTCTGTTTCTGTTTGTGAGATCTTGTCTTTTAAACTTACTGGATGGCAAAACTAACTAATCCCAGTCTTAAGAGTACTGTACACCGTATTTGCATGATCTCACCCAATCACTTGGTGGGAATTAGGAAGACACTGAATAGAAAAGCCATATCAAGAAATTCAAGGTGCCACACTATCTTTTTTTGACTACATTCCTTCATATATTAATGCCACAGCCATCTCATGGTGGTGGTGGTATGCCGTGGAGTTGGTTCTGA